CTATGTTTATAAATGCGATGAACAAAAGAATATTATAGTTGTAAAATGGGCAGATAACAAATGTGTACTTCTGGCTAGTACTGGTTGTGGGATTGAGCCAGTCAATCACGTACAAAGGTATTCTAAAGAACATAAAAGAAAAATAAATGTGCCATGCCCAAATCTAATCACTCAATATAATAAACACATGGGTGGAGTGGATAAAGCTAACTCTTTATTGGGTCTCTACAGAAGTCCAAGTCGTAGTAAAAGATGGTATTTTCCAATAGTTACCTGGCTCTTAGATGTCTGTATTATAAATGCATGGATATTACATCAAAAATGACAGTAAAGCCAATAATATAAATTTTATGTCTCTCAAGAAGTTTAGAATGGAACTAGCTAGGTCGTTGTCCAATACTGGAAAGCACAAAGTAAAGCGAGGCCGTCCATCAAGTATGGAAAATACAGATAACATTATTCGCCATCCTCTTACTGTAAGACCTGATGATTGCTACCAGAAGAGATGCGTTAGGTCACTGGCCACTTTATAGCGCTAAAGGAAGATGCAGATTTTGTAAACTGGCTATACAACTGTGCAGTGTGAAAAATGTAACATGCGGCTTTGTTTTACACCGAACAAAAATTGTTTTTTATCATTCCACCGTTAGAATTAGGCCTATATTTATAATTTTTTAGTATTAGGCACTCTATTATAAGTTAATTTTTTTATTAAATAAATAAAATGTCCTTTAGTTAAACAGTTCTTTATTTATGATTAACAAAATTTTGAGTTCTTCATTAGTGAAGTTAGTACCAAATAGTGTTTCTTGACTGGCAATGTTGCTTCTAGGCAACGGATTCAAAAACCACTTTCCCCTGTCTCCTTTCGGTTTTTTTGTACCTCAGGGTGTTATTGAGTGTTATATGAGATTATGTATACAATAAAATAATTTTTCGACATCTATTTTTGGTGTTGCCAGATACCGGTTAATATCAACATTTTATTAAAGGAAGTTGGCTTAAATCCTAATATTTTAAAGGGTAGAATGTAGTGTTTTCGTTTTGTACAATTACTTAAGGACGATTCTGTATACCAAAAACAATTTATTATTGTTATATTTTTAGTAGTTACTACAAATGTACTGATAAACTCATTTCCCTGGTATATTACTGCTTGTAACTGAAAACTACTACTCAATATATATTTACTTATGTATCTATATATCGAGAATATTTAGGTTAATTTCAAAAAGGCAAATATTGCAATACAACTTTTCATACAAATTCAACATTTCCCGCAACAAATATCTATGCTATTATGACCTTGATCAATTCATTGGAAAGCATCATAATGATCTCTCCGTAAACAATTGCAAAACACAAAGCTTGACACATTTCGAATATCCAACATAAAAATACTGAAATAAAAAGTGTGTCGGGATGTATAAGGATAAATATAAACCAAGGTTACGGAAAACTTATTTTTTTTTAAATCGCGTTTTCAGATGTGCGTGTGTACGCTTTTTTTATTCTTATCAGATGAAAATTCTACAGTGTTTAACTGGTTAATATCACAGAGAAAGAGTAAGTTATAGGTAACAAAGTAATATATTGTTAAAACAAATGTGTAACACTAAATTTTTGTAGTTGAAAATCATTGATACAGTCCGTTTCACCCTTTTTGGCCGATTTAATATTGAAAACCACCGAAATAAGATGAAACGTTAATCAAATTACCAATCGCTGCCTAAGGATAACAAGGTTGTATGTACAAAATGACCAAACTGCGAAAAATAACTTAAAAAATGATAAAACAGATTGGTACTATTAGATTTTGTATACAGAGTGGCCCAAAAGTCTGGAAAAGGCTAATTATCTCGTAAATTACTGGACATAATTATACAAAATTTAAAATACGCCTATTTTGGGATACGAAGATTCCATATTTGGTATTTGCAATGTTGCCAGATTTTCAGTTTATCTTATTTTACTAGTAACTTTGGTTTTTCAAATGCATCACCCTGTATATTCAGTCATTATTGGAATCTCCTATTCAATACGAGTTCAACCATATGTAACATTTATGATTTTATGTAGTCTGGAAGGTCTTAAATACATAAAACAGATGTCTGGCAACGCCTAAATTGTTTCAATACATTTTTTAATACTATTTTCAAATATATTCAAACGTAACAATTGATAGTTTAGAATATTTTTTAACATAATAGTTACGTTATTAAGTGTTCAAAATGTGCTCCATTTGTGAGTTGACAGCACTCTAGTCGATGGTAGAATGCGTCTACCACATTTCTCCATGATTGTCTAGAAATTATTCGAGATTCATCGATAATTCATTGCCTTAGCTATGCAAGACTTGCTGGTTAAGTATTGTAAACTGAATTTTTCTAAGTATCTCTAATAAAAATAATCTTTAGGATTGAGATCGGGTGAACGTGGAGGCCATTCAATTCTACCTTGTCTACCAATTTATCGTCCGGGAAATATCTCATCTAAATAACGCCGAACATTTACACCAACTATCTGACGTTAAATTTCTTTTGATAAAAAATGGCCCAATTAAATAAGTACCTACTATAACTGACCATACATTTAATTTTTGTGGTCTTTGAGTATGGTTTTCACGCATTCAGTGTGAATTTCACACGAGTTCAGCTATTCAATACGAGTTCAACCATATGTTCACTTGATTTTATGTATTCTGAAAGATCTTAAATACATAAAACAGTGCAAAATATGTAGATTTTAATAAATTTAAATATTTAAATGGAGAATGCTGTGATTTTGACATTTGTTCACCATTTAAATTATGAACTAAAATTGACAGTAGTTGTGGTTCAAAAAGTTCTGCAATTTAAATTGCTTCTCTAAAATGCCGTTCTCTAAACCGTTCTCCTATTCATAAGACGACGGTACAAAAAAACTGTAAGGCGATTTGAGGAATCTGGAGAAGTAAAAGATAGATACCGATCATGTTGACCGAAACGAGTTATCAATGACAACAAAACTTCAGATATAAGCAAAGTTTTGTTGAAGATCCACATATATCCCCAGGCAGGGTTGCACAAGTACATGATGTAGATCATTCTTCAGTCTTACGTTTTATTACGTAAAAATAAATTTAAATCATACAAAATTAACTTATTGCAAGAATTAAGTGAAGACGAGTTTGGTCGTAGATTAGAGTTTACTGAGGTAATGATGGATAAAATTGAAAATTATTAAAATTTGGTTAAGGAATATGTTTTTCCGATGAAGCAACTTTTACACTGTGTGGAAGTGTAAATCGACACAATTTAAGGTACTGGTGTGACGTAAATTCACACTGAAGACTGAATGCGTGAAAACCATACTCAAAGACCACAAAAATTAAATGTATGGTCAGATATAGTAGTTACTTATTCAATTGGATCATTTTTGTCGAAAGAAATTTAACGTCAGATAGTTGGTGTAAATGTTCGGCGATATTTAGATGAGATATTTCCTGGACAATAAATTGGTAGACAAGGTAGAATTGAATGGCCTCCACGTTCACCCGATTTCAATCCTAAAGATTATTTTTATTAGGGATACTTAAAAAATTCAGTTTACAAAACTTAACCAGCAAGTCTTGCAGAGCTAAGGCAACGAATTATCAATGAATCTCGAATAATTTCTAGACAATCATGGAGAAATGTGGTAGACGGCTTCTACCATCGATTAGGGTGCTGTCAACTCACAAATTAAGCACATTTTGAACACTTAATAACGTAACTACTATGTTAAAAAATGTTCTAAACTATCAATTGTTACGTTTTAATGTATTTGAAAATAGTTAGTATTAAAAAATTTATTGAAACAATTTAGGCGTTGCCAGACTTTGGTTTTATGTATTTATAACCTTCCAGATTACATAAAATCATAAGTGTTACATATGGTTGAACTCGTATTGAATAGGAGATTCCAATAATGACTGAATATACAGGGTGATGTATTTGAAAAACAAAAGTTACTAATAATATAAGAAAAACGGCAAATCTGGCAACATTGTAAATATCAAATATGGAATCTCCGTATCCCAAAATAGGTGTACCTCAAATTTTGTACAATTATGATTAGCATTTTATGAGATAATTAGCCGTTTCCAGACTTTTGGGCCACTCTATAATAAAGTATATTAACTGTTTTTTAAATCGTAGTAGGTAAAACTCTATAGAAAATGGAATTTAAAAAAACAAAGAGAAAGTATTCAATTTATCCCATATTTTATTAAAAAAATAAAATAACAAAGAACTTTGAATAGTTTGTCTCAAAATACATCGTCTTGGTTTTTTCCTCATTAAACGATTAGTGTTATTATTGCCATTGTTATTGAAAGAATAACCAAAGTTATTGGTTTTTAGTGACAAAACAGCATAGGCGATTATTACATTGTCTAACTGTTTTTTTTTGTATAAAAAGATTTTTTTGTTAATCTTTTGCTCATTCGACTCATAATGTATAAGGTTCCAGGAATGTTTGTGTAAGTAAATAGAATAATACTGATTAATAAAAAACTGGTTTCATTTTTAGCTCAATTCTTTAGTTGCGATAGGTATCTCAAAACATCAATTTTACACTTAGGTCACTGTGCTTCTGAGCGACTCATTTTTGAGTGGGTTTAGAAGAGATTTAGAACAAGAAAATGGTTTTCTGAAGTTGGTCATCAAGAAGAATGTCCGCGTTTTCTACTAACTAATCCCATAATAAAATTGGTTAAGAATTTTATTTTGAATGTGCTAAATTTCAACTTCATTACTGTTGTACATTCTTCCTCTTTTTGTCACTTTTCAAATATTTACAATCAATTCTGGATGATTTTAAAGATATTTCTTGGTTCAATGGCCCTACCTACACATAGCGGGATACTCTTTGGCGAATTGTTCTCATTTAACATATACAACATGACATAGATAGAAAAACTTGACATTTACAAACATCTCTGAATAGCGAACTTTATTAAATTATTTAAATAAAATTACCTGGCCTAACTTTGAGTGTAGATATAAATTTATTAATATCATCTTCCATGATTTCTTTACTTTTTCCTCTTTTACTTTTCGACGCCATTTTAAATTTTATCTAAAAATATATAATTTGAAAACATTACAAACTTGATTTAAAAAATATCTCTAAATATAGTAATCTTAGTAATTTTATGAATATTATAAATGAGAGGTATTCAAAATGCACACAAAAGTAAAGAAAACTGTACAAACACTATTGTCCCCTCAGATTTTAATAAACATGTGAAAGTTTGTATCATACATAAATTCTTCTTTCGTAATATCGAAAAAACTTTAATACATAATAATGTAGGATTGAGGAAAAATAATTAACAGAAAACATTAGGTCTCATTAACCACAAAACGCTGAGCTGCATATTTGAATGAAAACAAATTCCAAAGGATCAACTACTGCTACAGTTCAACATATCTTCACCTATTTTAGTAACATTGCTGAGCCATAATATTTTGATTTATTTTATTCACTCCTTTATTATCTAATGTACAACGCATTCATGAGAATGTTAGATGAAAGAAGAAAAATCTAAATCTAGAATAATCTAGATTTAGAATTCCATTACAAGAAAATCTTTTTAATTTTAAAAACATGGATACAGGGTGCTCTATTCTTATTGTAGGTTCCTGTTCAAGGTCAATGGTTGTCTCAAAAATCCCTACTTGTTTATTTCTTTCATCTGCTGATTGCAAACCATAAGTTCAAGTATATATCCTGGCTTGACTTTAGTAGTATTATTAATTTTATTTTCTAGACATTGATCCAAGTCTAAAGGTTTCAACATTCACTCAAAACAAACTTTGATGAAACTACAAATGTGAAACAAACTACAAATGTGCTAGTCATATCTCAGTGGCAACAGTACTGAATTACCAAGCCTTATAGCCCAAGTTCAATCCCTGGTACAGACAACAGAAATGTTTCAATTTTTAATTTAACAGAATTCCACCATGCTTCGGAGGGCACATTAAACTGTCATTCCCCACTATATAAGTAGTCATTAATACTACAACCTGAGCCAGAAGATTATACAAATGAAAGATGTGTCAATAAGCCAATTGGCTTCAGTAAGACCAGTTATAACAAACAGCTACCAAAAGAAAACTAACCGCTAAGGGCAGCTTAAATAAAGTACTTCAATATATGTATTATAGAGCTGTGCCAAACAACTATTTGGATTAGCTGAAGACTGAACAGTTTGAAAATGTAATTTTTAATGCTAGGTGGACCTAATATGGCACCGGAAGAAGACCATACCGAGAGAATGAATGAGATTGAGCCGCCAAAACATATTTATAATCAAAGAATAGATGGAGTGAGAAGGAGAGGCAGACCCAGAGCAGAATGATTAAAAACTATTCAATAAGAAAGATTTCATGCCCAGGGCTTGTTCTTAGAGGAGACATATAGAATCCTTCAGCTATCATTCACAATTTGATAAGAAAATGCAGTGTCGAACAACTATTTGGATTAGCTGAAGACTGAACAGTTTGAAAATGTAATTTTTAATGCTAGGTGGACCTAATATGGCACCGGAAGAAGACCATACCAAGAAAATAAATGAGATGGAGCCGCCAAAAACATATTTATAATCAAAGAATAGATGGAGTGAGAAGGAGAGGCAGACCCAGAGCATGATTTAAGGATCAGGTGGAGGAAGACTTCGAAATGTTGGGAGTATGAAACTGAAAAATCAAGGCGAAGAATAGGAGAGAATGAAGACTTATCCTTGAGCAGGCCAAGACCCACCATGGGTTGTGGAGCCAATGATGATGATGAGAAGACCATACCTATCTTGTGATTTTATTTTTAATTTTTGTTAAGAATATGATTTTGATTTTGAATAAAATATTTTATTTCAGTTAAATTTTTGTTTCTAATTGTATTGCAAAACAAATGTAGAAATTTATTATTTTGTTTAGAGTTTATAATTAAAAAAAGTTCAAATAGAAGAATGAATGAACAGGAGTCACAGATGCAGTTGAAAAAAGAGCCATTTCTAAATGGGCTTGGGTCGGACATGTTGCCAGATTAACAAATGATAGATGGACCAGAAAGATTCTGGAATGGCGACCAAGGCAAGAGGCATATCGAAGCAGAGCACCACAAACTGTATGCAAGAAGCTCAAGATAGAAATAGGTGGAAAATTTTACAGGAGGCCTACACTCAGCAGTGGACAAATATAGGCTAAGTGATGAATAATGATGATAAAAACAGTAAAAATCTATAGTAAAACGCAGATAGCACCCAGATATGTTAAAAATAACATAGAACAAGAGAAAAATCTGCAAGCAATATTATAAATATGCTCAGATGCCCTTGGAAATTAAAATAAAGAATAATCCATGTTGATATTCACAAAATAAAATAGTTTTCAAAATGAAACAAATATCAGGCAAAGAAAGGAGATAAATGATAATAATTTATAAAATATATTATGTAGATAAAAGTTTAATTTAGATATCTAGATTAGAATATACCAACCATACAAATTCAAGTACAAGTAAATACATTTGTAGTTCCCGAATTAAATGCATCCCAACTTTTATTGTCTATCTTAACCTAATTAATTCATATTTAATACATACCACTATAAAAAATAATTTCTTTATAGACTTGTAGGTACTTGTGTATTTCACAATATAAATATACAACTATAATAATAATTCACTTGTAGACAATGACAATTTTTGTGGGGTTTCAGCATATTTTAAATAAATTACATTCTTTACCTTCTGTGTTTAATAAATAGGAAGAAATTAATTTTTGACAAACTTCATTATGACTTTGAAATAATGACAAATTTAGTTTTCAGATAAAATATTTCAGAATTGACAGTATAATAAAAAGGTATTTAAAAGTCAGCAAAGAAATGATCATAAAAACAATTCTGTGAAAATTGAGTCTATAACTCTGAAGAATTTAACCCAGAACAATATACATCCGAAAACTTTCACAAGCAGTGGTAAGCAGTAAAAAAGGAGTATCAAGTAAGCATAAAACCAACATAGCAGTTTTACTGATAAAAAGATGATGTTTAAATGATGTTCTGTTGAATGAATACATCATATGTCCTGAATACATTCGTCAAGGACATCTAAATGCTACTCAAATGTAATCAAAGAAGTGAAATATCAAATGAATGAAATACAATACAAAAATTTCATTTGCATCACAAGAAAAAGATGTTTGACAAATAAGAACATATATCCACAATAGGTTTCAATGGGAAAAATGAAGAAAGTATGTGTTATACTAAAGTTTCCTAAAGTAATTACATGCTGCAGATCAGATATTAACAGGATCCTTGTTAGAATAAATGTGGTAAGATTAAGATTAAAACATATTAATTTCTTAAAGATAAAATTTATTATATTTTAAATATGATATCTTATTCAGTTAGTAATTCAATAAAAGACATGCAAACACATAGATACTAAAATAACGACATTGTATAGTAATGAAGAATAAAGAAGTTAAAACTGGAAATTTTGTCCTACTGCAACATGGAGTATATCGCTGAACTTTCTGTTTACTAAATACCTAAAAGATCAAATACTACTAATACAAGATACTTCCAAGTTGTAGTAGGGTCTTTATTTACCTACTTAAATATTTCATTTGTAAATACAAAGCCAAAATCTGTCAAAATTCTATCTATTAATCTATTATCAAGAGTTTGTTAACATGAGGCGTTACTAATGTAAATCCCATACAACTCTGATAGAACATAGATCATTGTAGCATCTATGTAGCAGTTAATGTAATTAGAAAAACAAAAATATTAACATTAACATAGAACTGCAGGTATAAAAAGATATGAGATAACACAAGATAATAATGGAAAGAATAAGTATTGTGACAAGTAGAAGATACAATAGAATGAATATCAGGGAGTCACTAGGTAACAGAAAATTTAAAAAAGAAATATCACTCAAATCTGGCTCAAATTACCTATCATTAATTTTATATTTAATATAATTATTCACCTGTGTTACCTAAAAAATTAACTAAGTGTCATCTATACATCCTGTGTAATCTATAATAATGTCAAGTAAGTTTGACAGTAGATCAAGTTGGTAACTTTACATTTTTATGGTTAAGTAGATTACATAAAGATTGCTTTTGCTTAATATGTTTTCCAATTTCATGATGAAACTAATTATGCTAATAACATATAAATGAAAAGACATTTAATTATGCAGAAAGAACACCTAAATCATAAACTGTAACACACAAATAACATCTTATTATATCATTTCAAGAGTAAAAACTTTTATAATGGTTAGCAGGACATCATCAGTATAATTAGCTAATAAAATTCTACTACATGATTTAGGACAATAGTGAGAAAATCCATTACATCAATCCACTGTCACTTTTTGATACAATTTACAAGGTTAAATACGCAAATCTTTTTAAACATTCAAGTTGTGATACTTTTTATGAAATGAACATATTGACTGGGTGATTTAATGAATGAAGCCTACTTACTGCTGATTTTCATGCCCCCCAAAGGTGGATTTTTAGCTTGTTTGTTGCCCTCTGCAAAAGAAGTAGTTCTTGGTCGGCCACTCATATCTTCAATTTAACTCTTTTCTAAAAATTCATGGGTTTAACACATTTCTTGAAGACACCCTTTTTTGGATCTGGTGATCACTACAGCCTTTTACACATATATAGTCATTTGTTCAAATGTTGACACTGTTTGATATATTTCACAATATCCTCAACGCGTCAACGAAAATATATAAATATCACTTTTGTATAAATTATTCTTATTAAACCATTTTTTTCTAAAAATGGATTTCACTTCACGATTAATTTTAGCTTAGTTCGTAGCTGTCATTAATGTCATTGTCATAGAATAAACTCTTCTTTTTGGTCTGCTTCTTATTACTAATCCGTTTCTGTTATTACGATGTTATTGTTTACAGTCACGATGTATTTTACAGTACATTTTTTTTAAATATTTAGAATACAGTTTTAATTGTTAATTACACAATTATACTTTATATTATAAATGATATGCAAGGTATATAAATATAATTGTGGCAAAAGTATAGAGAAAGTGCTGATGAATTTGGCATAAAACGTCATGTCAAATTTGTGTTTGCGGTGTTGCCATGTCCTTATTATGTGTATGTTTTATGCCTCAAATATGCTTTGAAACAGTACATTTTTATTATATTATTTTATGAAATCGGCTATTTTTAAAAAAATTTTAAATTTATATGAAACACGAACGAATGAATATTTGTTTCTTTTGATGTTAGCTGCAGTTAGTTATTAGAAAAAAAAATTATAATTGGCCTTTGGTAGATTAGTAAATAAACTTGGCAATACTGTCAATGTAGTTGCCAGATTGCAACAGATGTTTAGCAGATTTCAATTTTATGAATATTTTCTTATAATTTTGGGATGAAATGGTATCTGAATAAACGATTAAAAAATTAAAGGACATTTAAATTATACTAAATTAAAATTAAATTAATTAAACTTCTTTTAAAAACTCAAAAGAATGTTTAGTAACATTAATTCATATTATATCGTATGCTCTTTCGTGATTTATTTGTGATATGGCAATACTGCCAATTACATATCTGTCAGTCATTTGCAGCTAACTTCATCGGCACTTTCTCTATACTTCTGCCATAATTGTAATTAATTAAATAAATAATTTTATAAGTTTTTTATAATAATTAATAAGTTAAAAATAACATTACTAGGTTATAAAATTAAAATTTTTATTTTAGGAATTTGTTAAAAACAATTTCAGAATTGGAAATTAGAACGTCAAAACTTTGCATGAGATTTATTATCATAATATACAAAATACTCAATGACAATTATGCCACAAAAAATAGTGGTATGCTGTAATTTGAGCCTGTGCTACAGCATAATATCATAGTATAAAAAAGAAAGTTTTGGTTAAACTGTGATAATATGCTGTGAATGCGCTTGAGTAATCACATTATTATCAAAATTAAATAAATTAAACCGGCAATGATAAACACCAAATAAGTAATAAAGTTAATATTTTCAAACAAAATATAAAATATATCTGATCTGGTCAATTTAGTAATATATTTCTAAAAATATATTTTAAAAGTTTCACAAGGTTCTAAAATACTTAAACAATTTGGCAACCAGGATGTTGTCGTTGCCTGAGTTTCTCCTTGACAAAACCACAGTATATATCACAAGCAGTAGTGTAAGTGCAATAGTAAAACGTGTGAAGAATAAAATGTAGGGGTCCAGCCACTCATAATTAGACGGCGCTACTAGTCAAGTTAAGTGGGGGCATGATATAGCAAAAGGCGTATGACGTTGATGTAAGTGCTGTTGCCATGGTTGCGCTAGTTTTGCATATTTACTCAAATAATGATTGTACTATATAATTTTTGCCAAAAAAACAAAGATTGAAGCAAATTCTACTAAAATTATAACTTAAATTTACAATTACTTATTTCTAAAGAATTTTAAGGATCAACCAAAAAAATTTATTAGTGGCAACGTTGTAATCCATGTCTTTGCAAATTGCAAATGGCGTTATAAAACCAAAAATTTCAAATTTCAGATTTCAGCTTATCATTACCATCTCCTGCCCCTTTTACCCTTAACATTTCCCTAATAAACAATGCTAAAAGGGAAGAAGGTACAATACCAAAATAGTATAGTATTCCAAACCGAAAAAATCAAAAGAATATTTTTTGTTGGGTGAAAGTTAAAGTTGGACGAAGGGGTATTAAATATTCTGAGGATTAGGAGTTTATTTTTACAAGCACCAGGTAAGATCAGCACCTAATTGTACCAAACTTTTGTTAGTAAATAAAAACACAATACTATTTTATACATTTTGCTTCTGTAGTTAATATACCTTTAAATCTTAACCACTTTGAATATTTTACTTATATACTTATATATATATTTTAAAATCAAAACTCTTAACTCTTATAATTGCTTTCCTAAAAGTTGCATTATTTTATAAAAACAATCATACATTCTTTTAATTTTAATATTTCATTATTATAGATTTTCATGGACCTTCCACTTCTGAGCAATAGTTCGATGGGAAGAGTAAATGAAGATTAGTGGAAAAATCGCTACATGAAGTTGTATAGTTGTACATCTGTACAGAATCGCAGCAATGGAGACAGCAAGCTAACAATTTTTAGAGTGTCCACACTCACACACTGACAAGGGCTTGAGGAATGAGGAGAAGGATATTTGTTACCAATACTTTATCAAAGAAAATTATATTAATAAACAAGTGTCAGGATATCTGCGTTTTGTTTTCTTGTTTTCGGGACTTTGGTTTGTTAATGTAATGGAAAACAGATATGGTCATAAAATAATAAATAAAAACTTTCCTGTACTGTATATACCTACTCTCTCTGTCTGATATTATGTTATACATTTATATATCAAAATGCTTAAGTCTATATACTATATTTTTGGATAGAGAGAATATTTTTTTGCATAGAATAAGTATTTATTTCTTATTGTATGACAATATTTATTTTCCACTAAAAGCATACTTTTTGAATTTTGTCGCCTAACCTACGTTTTAAAATTGCCGGCAAATGAAATTAGTTTCAGCCCGTCCACACTTGGCGCTAGAAACTCTCCCAAATCTTTCTATAGGACTTACCTTGCTAGAGGGCTATGTACTGTCTGGATTTGGAAAATTTGGATAAAACAAACAAAATCCTCTTGCTGTGAAAACATTACAAATTTAAAAAGAACTTCCAAATTGAATCACAGATTATAAGATAATATAATTTTATAACTGTTTTTTGGAACTTAATTATACAGAATTGGTTAATTTAAGGCTCAAAAGTTGTTTGGTTGTAATGTAGGTATATTTATTTTTATTTTTTTTTATTTTTAAGCTACTAATATTTATGTCAATTTGTTAAAATGTTATATGAAACAATAGAGACTGAGACGCATTTTATATTCTTTGGTTATAGGCTAAATATATACTTCTCCCACAATAGTAAAATAATGGAAATTTCATTAATCTAATGGGTAAATTTTAGTAGATTATAGGCTGAAATAAATCTAAATACCAAATACTACTGTGCCTCTGTTTACCCTGAAATTAAATTTTCTAAAATGATCATAAAATCAAAGAATATAGATACATATATGCCTCTATATTCTGTGATAAAACATTTTGAAATAATTGTTTCCTATCTTTTTATTGTCTTGACATGGAAATATTATTTCTGAAAATTCTTCACTTTAGAGGTAATGAGTTTGAAGTACTATAGGTACATATTTTAGGTATTTATGGTTTAATAATAATTGTTTTTACCTATACCTTGTGCATGATTGAATGATAACTCTATATTGTTTTTAGATAACATAACAACTCATCCTACAATTTGCAAGCAACATATAAATATGGAATTTAGTAATCTATAAAACCCAAATCAAGTTCTACTTTCTTTAAAATGAAGAACAAGATTACAAACAATGAAGGACAAGCAGCCATAGGCTCAGTGGAAACTTTTGATGATCAAACTGGCCAAGAGAAGCTCATTGAAGCAAACAAAAAGGTTGTGTTCCCCCAAGATAGTGTTGATTCAGACAAGGAAAGTCAGTCAAAAGTGGCATTGTTTATTACCAAATTAAATGCATATAAAGTTGCTATCAGTAAGTGATTTATTGTTTAAAATTTCTTTTTTATACATTAGGTAAACTATTGTAACATAAAATATGGAAATTTGGTTTGATGTGCATTTCTAAATGATTTGTTTAACAAGATTTTAGAACATTTCACTCTGTTTGGAACATTGTAACTTAACATTTGTTTTGAGGACTTTTAAACTTCAAAACATTTAAATTCATTAAATAGATACATTTTGGTAAGTAGATTTCTCATTCGAATTTATGTTAATATCATAAATCAAGACCAAATTTACGATCCAAGTTCAAATTTAGAAATTGTTAACAAAAATTTCTGAAGTGGAAATTGAAATATCAAAATAAACATGTTATGAATTGAAATTTGAGTTAAAAATGTTTTAAATATATTAAGATCACACAAGAAAATAGCTTCAGAGCTATACAATAGCTTTCTATAAATTTATAATTTCTCAATGGTTTTACTAGAAGTTTCATCGATTTTACGGTATATTTCTATGATTATTTTCATGAGTACTAGTCTGCTGACTAGAATTTGAATACCTTTGGGTCGCGGTAGTCTCTATTCTCATTTAGATCGTTATTGATCTTTTTAATACCACTACAAACTTCATGACAGTCATCAAGCTGTTCGTGCAACTGCTTTACGATAAAATATTTTAGTAGCATTGTTGATCGGACAGTGTCAAATTTTAAAAATGTAATAAATAGTCTGTACTGGAGATGATACCTGATATATTAAACAAAAAAGATTTTTTAACTTGGCTAAAGTGCTAATCTCGCCCAAGAACCTTCTTTATCCGTGTGTAGGACCAGCAACAATCCAGGTTTAGGACAGCATTGAGGTAGTAAATCTACTTAATGATCTGGTAGGCGGAGTTAAAAAACCATGACTTACCGAGATGTAAAACTACTAAGCTAAAATTAATATGTTTACAAAAAATAAAATCATTACGTTTTCAGATAATTTACTGAAAAGTGAACAAAGTCTTTATAAACTAAAAAAGACAAATATTACACTTCTTTACCAAGTAACTTTATTACAATTAAAAAGAATGTTCTATGACATACTACTAAGTGAAATTAAAGGCCCCTATAAATGAAGGACAAAAGTTTTGAACTTACTTCCTGATACATTAACTTCCATATATTAGATCCAACTTAACTACGCATTTAAAAGACAACAAATGACACCAAACAAGATATATCAAAGGGATAAGATAAAAGTAAAACTAAGAAATTACAAAAAAACAGAAATTAACTTACTTAGATGACTCCATAACTTTCTGAAATTGCTAAAATGTTTAGATTTTATTTTTCTCGAGAACGACGCTACACAAAGAACCGAGATAACTGATATTCCAGAAGAAAGATTCAGTGTTATCTATACCACCCTTAGGTTTCTGCCGAAACATGAAAAATTGATATGATATGATATGAACTTATTGAAGAAGTTCTTAGTGAATTTTTTATTGATCAGGCTTATATCTCCTTTTCTTAGAACACCAGATCTTGCTGGTTATTTTATGTTGATTATGTTGAGTATTTTTTGTGGAAATGCTTTGTATATTCTAGTGTTGCTGTGTTTTGTTTTTATTTATATTTACCTATTTCTTTTGGTAATAAATTGGAGTAAATATAATGAATTATAATAAGCCAAATAAACCGTAAATATTCAGTTTTCATATATTTTTATATAAATTTGTATATTTCTTTCATAGTACATCGTTTCCTAATTTATTATTTTTTGTTTTTATAGGTGGATTTCTTGTATCTTTAATAATCATAACAATTATAGTTATAATTTCACTAGTTGGAAGTAAAAGTGTCAAAGAACCTTCAAGGTATGGTACATATGTAGCAGCACAGACTGGATGTGGAAGAATTGAAGGGTAATGTACTTTTTATATTGATTGAATTTATATTCTAGAATTTTAAAAATAAAATATATGTAAATCAACACAAGTGATGGTGTAGTGTCAAAGCAACAGTGAACATCTATTCCATAAATTTAATCTACATCATACAAGTTGGTGTAAATTCATTCAATGCCTCAACTTCAGTAACAAAATGATAACATTTAGACAATCAACTTTATTAGTAGTATTAAGAGAAAAACTGATTTTTTCTATATAATACAATGTAAAGTGCAGCAGAGTAGGACTCTACAGCAGATATGACACTTTGGCAATGTGGAGGGAGTACGAGTATGAGTTATCCCAATAAGGGAGGTTCCGAAATTTGCCAAGTTCATTAGCTTCAGTAAAAATTAAGACTGAGGCTTCACTTCGAAATTCATGGCTGTAAAAAATTCCCTAGAGTTAATAATCTTGGAATAGTACACTTTTAGTTCTACTATAGAACAACATTAACGACTTTAGTTTTTTTCCTAATTTATTAGGGAGTAACTTACATTATTTTGCTTAAGAATAAACAATATTTAATGCCAGTTTTAATTGTATTTATTTATGTAGGTTAATGGAAGATAGTGCTTTCACATTTCGAGGAATCCCATATGCTAGACCACCTGTTGGAGATCTGCGGTTTAGACATGCGCAACCACTGGACGATGTGAAGTACTGCTGGAATGGTACTTTCTTAGCTCATAACTCCAGCGATGTTTGTCTTCAAGTACTCAGTAATGGCACGATAATAGGTAAAGAAGATTGCCTAACTCTGGATGTTGTTACTCCTTATGTGAGGTACGATAATCCCCTTCCAGTGATTGTGTTAATCGGTGCTGATAGTCTAATGGGCGGATCTCCTAGTAAGCTCAGACCGTCTGCACGGTATGCCAGATCGAGAGATGTAGTCTTTGTGAGACCTAACTTCAGGATGGGAGCATTGGGGTTTCTCGGTCTTGAAATCCTTTCAGAATCAGATCGTTCCAGAACATCGGGAAATTATGGTCTGAGCGATATTTTAGCTGCATTAAAATGGGTACAACTGAATATAGAACACTTTGGCGGTAACAAGAACTCAGTTACAATATTCGGTCATCGAGCAGGAGCCACACTGGTTACAGCACTCACTACAATTCCAGGTGCTAATAAATATTTTGTACGAGCCTGGGCGGCGTCCGGCGGAGCTATTTATCCCAAGAAAGAGATAAAGAAATCACAGAAAGAAAATCACAGCTTTCTAGATTCTGTACAATGCGAAGATGTGAATTGTTTGAGAACTGTTGATGCTACGAAGCTTGTCGCTGCAGTAGAAGATACTTGGAGGAAACCTCAGCCTGATTTACCATTAATTGATGAAGTTCCAGAAAATAGGCATGAATGGTTGGTAAGTATCACAAGTTTTCGATACAGTTTAAATATTATTATGTGTATATATAAAAATTGATTGATATTATTTTTTGTCTGAGTATAAGTGGTGTATTTAGAAAATTATTTTTATTTATTCTAGAGGTGTCTTTTTGAAATTTGTGAAATATAGAAAATAACTTTATTCAACATTATCAATATTGGCTAATTGGCTAAGCCAAAGCCATTATATAATAAAAGAAACACCAACAAAATTACAATACTTTAACTGACTGAAAACTATAAACTTCAAAACTCAAAATACTACTGTTATAAACTATCAAAACATCTGTTTATATACAGCCTGGGTAATAACCTATCGTCAGTATGGACCTTACATGAGATGGAGTGAGAAACACCTGTTTAAAAAGAGAGAGGTATATTAGGTCCGCCCTATATAGTAGAAAATGCAATAGTGGAAATAATAAATTCAACAGAAGAGAGTTCAACGTTGCAAACTTATTGGTTTTATTTGACCTGTTGTCTTTTTAACATTTGAACAATGTTCTAAGATAATCAAATTTGAGCGAATTGATTTAATTTCCACTTCGGAAGTGTTTGGAAAAAAACAGAACTACTTTGGTATGCCATGCTTAGTGCATGGGTTCGTGGGTTGGTCTTTCATAAAGCATAATAAATGAAGACAGTACTAGTAAAGCATTTGGAAGGATCAGGTGTATTATATTAAATTTAAACTAAACGCAAAATTACGTCTTTTAATTAAAAATAAGATATGATTTGGTATTTTCCAAATAATATCTTTGAAACTATTTTTTCGTTTAGATTTTTTGGAGGTAGTAGGTGTGAAAATAAAAATTAGTTCTAGAAAAATTAAACAAAAATAAGATAAAATTAGTATAAAAGTATAAAATTTGTACTATAAAAATGAAATAATTTAACACTACTGTTTAAATTAAAAATAATTCCAAACAATTAGAAATTCTAAATCAAATAAAGTTCTTAAGTAATTAAATGTTCAAACATACTACCAAATTGTAACGAACAGTAACAAAATCTATTATACAACGCATTTCTCATGGCGTTGAGTTCATATGTCGATATGTTTTGGCTAAGTTGGATTATCTTTTCCTTCAGTTCCTCCAAGTTGGTGGCTCGCTCGAACTCATGCCTGTACAATTTGGTTTTTAGCATCCCCCAAAAATAAAAATCTAGAGGAGCTAAGTCGGGTGACCGAGGGGCCATTTTATTGTACCGTCTGTACTAATGACACGTTCAGCAACAATTAACGCTAAATAGTCTCTAACGGCTTTTACATTATGTGCAGGACAGCCGTCTTGTTGAAACCAAATTTCGTTGAAGTTAGTTTGAAGACGTCGAAGTGCAGGAATAATTTGATTTTGCAGTAATTGGAGATATTTTACTGCGTTTAAATTACCTTCAATGGAAAAAAAGACCAATAATATGGTCTCCCAAAATTCCAGTCCAATCATTTGTGGATTAAACAAAAATTATTATTTGCATGGCATCTCTCCATCATAATTTCACAAAATTGCATCCGTTTAAATTGATCATCAGGAAATATTTCTTGAGTTGTCTGCACTTTATAACAATGGTAGTTGTTTCTTTATAACAATACTAGCATATCATCTTCAGCTTCGGTTCGAGTTCCAAAGCCTAGTCGTCCATACATTGCTTTATATTCTCTCTAGGATTGGACCACATGAGCATTAAAATCACTTCCTGTTATGGCTATTTCCTCTGATGAAATATGTCTAGGTATGTCTCCTAGTTTGTGACGACAATATTTTGCTTACCTCAGGGTAAGAACATGAGGGGTAGAAGATTGGGCAAACAAAATAATCGAAACAAGTGCGAACGACACTCAGTTGGTTGTTGGAGAGCTGGGTCGTGGATAAGTTGAAATTTGGGGTTTGGATTGGGGTATCTACTAAAATGAAAACAAAGGGATACTTACATAAATCTCCTCGGCAATTGATATAACAAACAAATCAAAAATAGATTGGGAGCACCTCAAGGAATTTAATATAGGGCGCCACTTGAAGGATCCTAGTTTACTGAAGGAAAGAAAAAAATCTTCCCTAATATCTAAAATACATAAAAAGGTTTAGGAGATTTTTCTAAATAAAAATAAAAAAATAGGTTAGAGAAACAAATCTAACGTTTATTATTGTCTCAAACAAACAGTTATACAAAATTACAGCTTATACAAAAGGCATACTATATAAAAATAGTTGTCAAATACAAATAAAGAAACTTACGTGTTATCTGTTTACAAAGAGGTTACAAAAATCTTCGAAATGGTTTCTAGTAAATAATGTGGCCAAATTAGATTAAAATTTTATGGATATCCTTTTGTGAAAAATAAAATTTAATCTTTACTATAAAATCAAAATATCTTTTACAACAGATTCAAAATCAAACTTTCATACGTCAAAACAAACATTTTTAAGACAGGATAACATTATGACCGATGACAGTTTAAACCACGCCCTAACATAATATTTATTTTAATTACAAATTAAAAAAAAATTATAAAGGAAAGCAAATTTTGTCTTTTTAAAAGAAAATGTCTATTTTTACTTTAAAAATTAATAACGTAAATGTTACCTCAGTTCACACATGTTAACTTAAACTTTTGAACAACTGGCTAATATCTGTGGGGTGTCTAACTGCACATCATCAACGGAAAGCTTTATTGGAGGCTGAAACTGGCACACTGGCACATTCAAATCAAAACTGCTCCAATATCATTCTACGTGAGGTGAAGAGGCATCTTGGAAAGAAACTGGATTTCTCAAAAAAACGAAAAGAAAGCAGGAACTAATCTTGTTCACTTCTCAAACATTATAAATCTTCAGCAAAATCAAAACAGTGGTTAGTGGTCACTCTTTCAAATACGACATATTACATAGAGTAAAAATTCCACCATTTTTGGCGAATTAATGCCGCGTTGCCACATCACAATTAAACGACCTTTCCCTTCGAGCAATTCTTCATCACTCCTCTCTTGACCTTCTCGATCTCAACCTGCCAGATAGATACCGCCTCTCTTTTCCCCGCACAAGCATTGCTATCTTGTCAAATCAACAAATTCTTTACTCAAACTCGTCCAAACTTCCGGCGTTATTACGCTTTAGAAAAAAGAATACCAGGCTTACAATATTTTTCTGGGAACGTTGAAGTTAAAAAGCCATAAATTGTTTTCTTTAGCAAATACGTCTTTATTTATTGGAGAATTATTACGTATTTAAAAATATCTACAGACAACACATTTCTAGCATACCAGGGGCGTACTATGACAAATATAGAATCGAATTTTTAGACTTTTAGACGAATATTTAGACATTAATTATAAAACGCTACAAGTTGACCATAGAAAGCTTTTCTTTTATTATCATTTTTTAGTGCTTTTGGTAGTATTAAATAAAATATTGTCTGTTTTAGATATTGGATGGTCGCATATTGAAAACATATCCCCACGAAGTATGGAGTGCCAACGTTGATAGACCCCTAAATCTAATTGTGGGAACCACAGCTCATTCTGGAAGCTCAAAAAAACTGTTAATGAAACATACAGTTTGGACGAAAGAAATGATCAAACAACACATAATGGAATCATTTTTATCGCAATCGTCTCTTCTAGAAGAAGTTTTAAAAATGTACCCTCTTACTTATCAGGGTTTAAGTAAGATGATATCAGATATAAGAATCGTCTGTCCGCTGTTTGCTCTGTCTACTGAGATGAGTAAAGTTCCGTTTTATGTGGTCACACAGACAAGATTAGAGCAGGATCTCGCTGATGTAGACTCGGACGTAGACGCGATTTTAGGAAGATATGAACCGAGAACTCCCGAACAGCGACGATACTTTTCTGCAGTACAAGGATTGTTCTACCATTATGTTTGGAACGGTAAGATGGAAGATAATCTTATCGGAGAGAAGGTCTTGATTGTTGATCAGGATGTTTTACCCAACAACACATATTCACATTGCAACTACTGGATTAAGAAGAATATAGTACCGAGATATGCCGCACTTGACTAAGATCAAAAATGAAACACTGCTGCACATTTTTGGGTAAGCGAATATTTGTTTATTTTAGTTTTATTACAATTTAATTTACAATGTGCTTTATTAGCAGTAATATTTACAAAGCTCAACAGGCTTTGAAGGCCTAGGTCCTTCCTTACAATTCATACAATGGACCGCCGGAGTGATGACGTAGATTTGATTGACATCTGTCAGTTTCACTTTCCAAACAAACGTTGTTTAGTGTGGATAATTTGTATTTTTCGTTATTTTTTAATTTTTTTTACATAATATTTCAGTTTTTTGCAATATTTAAGTATTCTAATAGTTACTATAACAATTTTACAAGGTTGTGTAAATAATAAAGCATGTTTTTTTTATAAAAATAGCAATAAAATGAATGCATCAATAAAGTAAGGTTAGACTTTCTTTAATGTATACTTTTAAACTATATTTCATAGAAATAGAACACTGAATTGTGATGATATTATCGTAAAAAACACTATACTTAAAAGAAAAAGTAGCAGAGAAAGCAAAATGTTAACTTTATAGAAATTAAAAACTCTTGAGATTTGACATTTCAATTTTTGTTTGGAAAGTTATGACAGACGTGACGTCACACTCCTGCTGTCCATTATATATTTATTTTTATATATTTAAAACTTATATATTACAAAACCTGTATCAACTGGGTTGGTTTCTTGTCCAATCATGCTTCTTGCCTACTAAATTGGGACATAGTATTCTCCTCCTCTATTCATCCCTGTTTGTTGCTATTTCTTTCCAACCATCAATTCCCTCTTGTCCGTTCCTTCTTTTTGTGATTGAGCCCCGTTTTAGAATCATTTTTGGCATTTTCTTCCTTTCCATTCTTATCACGTGTACAGTTCCTCTAGCTCCATGCTTGCTCGTCGCATCCAACATCCACCATGTTTTTGCCTCAAAATATAGCTGTGGGTATTTACCTTTCCCATCTTTGAAAATTGGTCCCTATTTGATTTATTCATGGTCTATACTTCACTACCATACGTCACATTCTCCGTTTCATATATCCTTAACCTTATTTTTCTGGATACAAATTTGGATTTCATCAGTGGTCTGAGGTTTCCATTCTTCCTGATCTTTCTCTTCTATAATAACCCCCAGATAAGTAAAATGGACCACTCTCTCGAAATTTTATTCTTGTGATTCATTAGATATGAAAGTAAACTACCCCTCTTGTTTTTGCTCTCTATTTCTGAGTATCATGTACTTTGACTTTTCCTGGATTATTTCTTGGTCAAAATATTTTGCCTCATTGTTTAATCTTTTATAACATTTTGTAGTTCTTTTCTTATTTTCGTTAGAATAGTAAAATCGTCAGCGATTACCAGACATTGATGTTTATTGTTGAAGATGGATCCGGTCATTTGTCTAAGGCCTCTATTGACTTCAAACTCATCCGATGAAAATAGTCTCCATACTACATGATTTTGTGTGCTATTCTGACTCATTTTTACTAACCTGATCAGTTCAATCAGTTAATATTTTTTAAACTTTTTAGATATCCAAGAAATTTTAGAAATAAGCTACAATCCAACATCAAGGCTACTAACATCTACAGGCTGCAGTCTAAAAACAGTTATATTATACTCAGAAACTAAAATATTGGATTTTATTCAGAAATGCAATGGAAAACGCGGCAGTAACTGGTATTTTCTTCTCAAATTAATAAGACAGTATTTATTTAGATTAGTTTTTAAGGGATCAGTATTAGATTATATGTAAGTTTTTATGATAGATATATTTATACATTATTGTGTGCCAAACATTAAAATTTAACGTAGAATAATAATTATTGCATCTATAAAGTCATCCGCAGTATATACATAATATATATGTAAATTTGATTTATGTTAATTTTACGTCGGTTCTTATAAAAGTTTGGTTCTCGTGAAGATAGAAAAGCATCTACTGACATTTCCGAATGTCATTTCTTTCTAAAAGTTCCGGTCACATTATGATTAGTTTCTCGGCAGTAACACTCGTGAGATGGGAATAAGACAAACAAAAATTCAAAGGTAGAAATGCCGAAAATGTTGACAGCGATCAGTTGTCACTGACGTCACAAGATGGCAGATGACAGCTGTCGTGTCAACTGTCAATACTTATTTTTTCCCCAGCTCTCAATTCTTCTTTTCCAGCTGTCAATTCTTATTTTCAGTCTGTCAAATTCAACTGTCAATTCTTCTTTTTTCACAGCTGTCAATAATCTTTTACGAATTCTTAAGTCTAACATTCAAACAATAAAAATTGCTACATTAGCGATGGTGGCAACAAACTACATATCCATTAAGACGTATTCAGCCTTACACCATGAATGTGACATTTGATATCCACTGCTCAACATAGACATCCAATTATTACGTACACTGGTATACACGGCTGTCAATTCATTATGTTCAAACCAGCAAACCTGTTTTGCTTCTACTCATGTTTCTCACTTGAAAGTTGGCAAAAGTATGTAAGTCCATCTATCTTGGATGGTATAAATTTGAAAATAACTATTTTTCCTTAGCACGTGGTGTTCCTGTGTATCAAGGTATAAATATTAAAAGCTTAAAACTTTTATTTTAAAGAAGATCTTTTCGAAATTGAATCATTTCATCATCAGTTTAATAAAAAGTTGTTAAAAACATTGTTTGGCCACAGAAAAACAATAGAAGGACATCAGTAACAAAAAACAAAAATGGGGGCATCTAACATGACCCCAGGAGCTGATGAGATTTTGTTGACTTACATTACCTCTGATCTGTGCTGGAGTCTAGGGTTAACTGATTAACTGGTTAACTGGTAGTTAACTCTAGTTCTTGTATTTTTGTGCCTATTCGAAACGTTTCTTTATCATAGCCGGAGTAAGCTTTGGCTTTCGAGCTGGTGTCCTACCTGGTTTGTTTTCGATAAATCTCCGACGAACTGTTCTTTATAAAACACAAATTATTTCATTTCTTATTTCCTGGGTAAGTATTCTCAGTGGTTTCTTTCTGCTTACTAGCAAATATCTCTTATTTTGCGATCAGTCCTAGGGGTAGTCACACGATGTCTTCCACTGTGACCTTTACGCTTTGGATCCAAAACTGACTCCAGACGCAATTTTTTGTTTTATATTTCTTACAAAACTTCTTGATACTTCTACCATTGCTACTATTTTATTTTTTTTAACTATGCGATAAAATAATAACATTCCTGTTGATAAAAATTATTAATTTTAAAAAATGCAAATTTTTAATGCTTAACCTAATAATTTGTCCAGCTACTGTATCTTGGAGAAGATACATATAAAAAAACAACCAAACTGTATCAATAAACCAATATCCCTATGTCGGAATCCCTATGTATTTTCGTTTTTAATAAATGGCCTATTTTCCTAACGATAATGTAAGAAGTAGTCTAAGAAATAAATAGTAACGTGTTCATTGATAATAGTAATTCGTCGAAACTTTTGAGTAACGATTAATTGTTTTGTTAATCACACAACTATATACCATAGAAATTCAGAATAAAATATTATTGAAAAATCAACATAAGCAAATAAAGAAACAAAATGACATTATAGATGTATTTAAGATAATATATTTTTTATAAGATAACTATTTATAACATGTATTATGTCAAATATACTCAGTGATGTTAGAAGTGTTACACCCAGAAGGAAACATTTCTTGAACAACATGGTTGTTCAATTGGTATTGTTATGTTATCATATATCATTGGTATTCTGGGTACATTTCTAATGTCACTGAGTATATAATAATGTATTAAACTATAGTAACTCCTCTTCTTTTAGGATGCAGTCTGCATCTATTTCATCGTTGATTTACCAGTATTAATGATATTTTTTGCTAGCCGATTCCACACGTCTTGTATTTGCGAAGATTGAATGTTATTTTCTTTCAGATCTCCTTTTAGCCTTTATTTTACCTTGCAGTATGATATTTGCTGTAAACTATCAAGAATCTCTCAACACGTGGTCCTAATATTACACTTTAACTTTGTTTTACATTATTTAAAATCTGCCATTGTGGTATGCCTTCTTTTCTCAATGTCTATTAGTGTGCGCTCATAAAAAGGCGCCGACAATAGGATGGTATCATAGTATCATCGCCACGTAAAATAAATGCAATATTTTAAAAAGTCCAATTCCAAGCCTTCCAATTCCTCCATTCCTACAATTCCAAAAATTCACCATCAAAGCGCAGCGCATACTATTTTTTCGATTCTCCTCCCTAGTACTCTACGATCAACACTACGAAGTGCCAACCACCGAGCCTCGCTGCGACCATTGTATCGATGCCAGGTAAAATAAATGCATTATTTTAAATGCTAGCGTTCACTTCACTGTCATGCTATGATCTAGGCGAGGATACCATGCGCCATGACCTGGTCATCGTGTCTCATTGTGACTGATTGTATCTACCTTCAGTCTGTTCATCTCTTTAACTTCTTTCGAACCTTGGAGCTCACTGTTCGCAACAGTTGAATATTCTGTAAAAATTTGAATTAAAGAGCATCAAAGAAACTATCAAGGAAATAGGCGTTGAAAAAACTCATATTCTTCAATATTTCGCAAAATAAGTATTCAATAAGGGGGCTAGAGACGCATTCCTGTCGCTTTTATACATTTGTTCATTAGGTTTTCTCTGGTACTTATTCTCCAATCTTTTACGCTCCAATTACCGAATGGAATATGGAGAAATTTTATTTCTTCTATACAAAAATAAATTATGCAAATCCGAATATCGACATTTTGTAAAATTATTTTGCTAGATAATATAATTATCTGTGGTTAAGATTCAGTGCTCAATAGAATAAGTGAAACACCAATGATTTAGTTAGATATAAGTCTTTCAAAAAATATTTATATAAACCATATCAAAATAGTTTTAAGACAAACGTATTATGATTTTTTTTTACTGTGATATGTTGTGATTTCTCATGAATTTATTTCTTTATATATTATTTTGTTTTTATTTATA